GTTATAGTTTACACAGAAGCAGAAAGCTCCCAAGGAGAAAATGCTTTATGAAATACTGTGTCATGAACAGACCCTGCAAACCCTCCCTCGTCTGAGCAGTCTCACCATATCACTTGGTAGTTTGGACAGGCATAGATCAGATCCAAAGTCTGGATTTCAAAATACAAGCTGGTCACAAATAGAAATTGTCCTCGCTTATTTAATATTTAATATTTTAACTATTTTAACAATTTTAACAATTTGTCTTGTTTGCTATTTGCAGTTTTAAAGTATATTTTTAATTGTTATGAAACAAATGACAATATAAACAGGGGCTAGGCAATAGGTAAAACATTCTGATATAAATGCATCTCCTACCATATGCTGCTGAAGTACGTAGCCTGTTCAGCTAATTGCAGAGCCTTTTTTCTTCTTTTCATGAATATGTATTTTGTGAATGTATTTTGTACTTGTCTTTTTAATTCTATGAAATGTAGACTGTATCATTAAAGTAAAAGAAATATTTTGAGAAGCACTGTCAGAGCCCAGCTTGCAGTGCAGTTAAATTTAATTGCCTGCCTCTGCACGGCATCTCTGCCATGGTGAGAGCACACAGGGCAGGGGTGTTTCACAAGCAGAGGGAAGCATGCGGCCAGGAACACAAGCTAAGGTTTTAAAAGTACATGAAAAGTAGATTGCTTCATTGTGTCTTCATAAAGTGTCACTTCTCAGTCTCCTCCCAGCAAATGAGTGAGAGCTGCCAACTTCGGGGATGTTCATATTTTAAAAAAAATTGCAGACTTCTGACTGTAAACAACAGTCATTTTTACCTCACGTATGGCCAAAGCAAAATAAAATGCAACACAACTAATTACATGTGTAATAAAATATTTGTATTTATTTATTGCAGCTTAATCCAAACATAATATTTACAGAATAATGAAAGAATTTATACACTTTTGTTTTAGTTGAATCAAAGGTGACTTGATGCAAAATTAAAATGCAGTGGCTTTTAAACTTAGGAAGATACTGAATTAATACAATTTTAAGATTGGTATGAAAATGGGATTTGGTCACTTTCTCCCTTTTTGTTGACTGCATCAAGCCAGATCTTGAGCAGGACTTAATGTTCATGAAAATAACTCCATTTCTAGCAGCTCTGGACATGGTCCTGTACATCATGAATCAATTAACAAGTTATTGATAAATGGTGTATTTTAGAAGTATAAACTCATTTACTATTGGTTGTATTTTATTATATAATATCATGTCACAAAGACTTTTCCTTAATTCTGAAAACTCTTGTTATACTTCACACTTCTAAGAAGAAAGTATAGAAGACAAAATGTCATCTGATTTGTGCTGTATCTCATGTTCCTATGCCCTGTGGGAGGAAAGGAAAAGTAATAGAACAGACAAATAAATAAACGTGGTGTTGAAACTGGCATGACAGTTTCTGCTCTTGCACAAAGGAACTGCAATCAATTTATTGTCTTCATTGGTCAAATGCCAGAATAACAGTATAATATTATACAAGAGTAGATTAATTAAAGTGTAATTAGAATGGAATAAATTAAACAATCATAAAAGTTTGTCATGGGAAAAATATGTGTTTAGAATTAATTAGTTTTCAAATAAAGTGATATTTTAATTGCTCAGAGTTACAGAATCCTTAATTGCAGACATATAATTCTGGCCTAAATAACTTCAGTTGCTGTAACAACTTGATATATTTCTTCTCTGTCAATTCTTTTTAATAGTTTGTTACCAAACAAGATTATTGCCGGAATGTCTGCGAAAATGTCTGGAAGACGTTTAATTAAGCCCAGGCTATCTGAGGACATTATTAGCTCTTGGAACCACAAGATTTGTGGCTGATGCTGCACTGTGCAGCACCCCTAATTAAGGAGGATGGGCAGCCAGAGCCCCGTGGCTGACAGATTGCTGTGCATGGCTGAACTGGAGAATACTCAAAACAGTCTTTTGATGGTCCTTGGCTCATCAATTTTCTGCTAGATTTCAATGATTTATCACATGTACAAACTTAAATTCATCCTAGGTCTGATGTTATGGTGAGGAGAGACTTATATAAATCGTTTTTAAAAACTTACTTTGTGTATATATAAATGCATATTCATATTCTTCAAGTTTTCAAAGTGATTAATCATTTGTTGTCTTTTGTGTCCCCGGTAATTTTACGCAGTGTGTTGTAGAGCTGAACTCCTGTGGGCTTTTATGCCTGCTTTCTCCAAACAAGGCTGGCTGTAGCTACATCATTGCACTTTTCCAAGCAATTAATGGTTTCAGAAAGTAAAACAGATGGGTGTCTTTTCCCTCATCTGCAAATTGAACCTGTTTATGAAACACTGGAATTTCATCTGTTTCAGCTGTATTTCACGCTGAATTTTGGGCTCCCTTATTAAAAGCTAGTGCAATAACATGAGAGGCAGGGGCTCTCACGTTTTCATATCCCATATTTTTGGCATAAATGTATCCATGACATTTGTCTGTCTCCATAATGTTTACTTCAGTAAGATTTGCAATGCCCAAAATGTTTAATTGTGTTAAAAAAGGTCAAACAGCTGATAGCTGAAGGCACATATGTCAGAATGAAAGACTGAAAAAAATTATCAATCTGACACAGGGGGAGTATTAGAATGATTAATGTTTATGTTAATTTATGGCTTTTACATATTGATTAATAGCTTTTTGTTCCAGTGACCAAAATGTGCAAGTGGCAATGAGATCCATATGCTAACTCAGTGTCTTTCAAATTATTATAATCATTCTTAGTTTTGTTCCCATGCTGAAGCTATGTTTTCATATAGAAAGTAATTGTTGTACAGTGACTTTTTTTAAAAATTGCAGATGGAAATATTTGAAATTGAACCTCAAGACACAAGCTTGGGTTTCAGTATTCTTGAAGGTTATACACTGACCTTTATATACATTTTTCTTGCAAACTTCATTACTTAAAATCTTCATATATTGTGGTTTAGTTTTTTCAGGTAAGGAATGCTTACAGACAAAAAGGGTGCTAGTGCTGGGAGGAGCCATTATCTGAGTGGAAATCATTAAAAATGCATTGCGTTGCACGACGGTTATTAGTCATTTTCTCCCCTGCTCCCTTAAGATTTCTTGGCATATCACCAGTTGCTGATAAGCAATTTTGTGTGCTATCTGTCCATTGACTAATACAATTAAAATGTGGAAACCTCCATCATTCATTGTCTAAATGTCAAGAGAGAAGGTAATTTTGAGGATCTCCTGAGAAAGGATGAACTGCTAACTTTCCTCGGAGTCACTGGGAAATGGAGGTTCTCAAACGGAGACTTTTGAAGGGTTTTTCTGAGCAGGCAATCATTGTTAGTCATTAGAAATGATTTGGTGACTATTTAGCATGAAAGCTCTGACAGTATTTAGTGTTCCCAACCTGTAAGAGGAAGGACTCTTGTCAGCTGTAATGTTGGCTGTGTGGAAACAGGTTTATGATATGAGCTAATGAAGGATTCTGTAACTAGGTCATATAAATCACTGCATTCTCTTTGACATTGATGTGGTGCTAACTAGCAAGTTTTGCAAGCAAGATAGAAATCTGTCTACAGTATCTGGATATGGTATTTTCTAGTGCAAGCACAAACTAATGAATGCTCTCAGTCCACTGTTTTGTTTTTTTTTTTTAATTAAACATTGTTATTATCATAATTAATTAGGTTTTGAAGTCACAAATGTACATCACTGTGCTTAATCACTAGTTTGGCAGTCATAAGTAAATAGTAATATGAAAAATAAATAATTCAAAAGAAAGCATTATGTTATCCTTACCTCTGAAAATTAAGAGTGCTTTATTAGTACATTTACTGGTTGAATCAAAAATTTCCGCTAATTCTTGTTTGTGCTTGACATCAATTTCTTGGTTAAAAAATTTGTACTGTTTTCTAATTATCACTTGAAGTAAATTATTATTTAAATTTGCTTTAAAGAAACCCTAGAAGTATAATACAGTTTCTATCACAATTAACACTGAAGATAGAAATGAGAGTTTTAAACTGAAAGCTGCATTATTATGTGACTGACAAATGAATTTCCATATATTCTGAGGCTCTGACCTTTGCAGCTGTTTGTGTAGCACTCCCTCATCTCTTGATCAAGCTTCTGCTGGTTTTGCTTTTGCTAGTGCGCATTTCTGTCTTTTCACACAAGACATACCCTGTGTTTCAGGCAGCTGGGGTAAGAATCAGAAAAGCAAGGTGCCTGGCTTTTAGTTTGGGATTTTCACTGTTCCCTAAGTGTTTTGTGGGTGTTGCCTTGCTGCAGGACCCAGCAAGGCATTTCTTTGTATCGCTGAATTATTTTCACCTCGGTGCAAAGTGATTCCTTCAGTTTCACAACATCTCTTTGTATTGCTAAATTCCCTGTTTCAGTGTGTTCTGATATTTTTTATTTTATACATGCAAAATGAAAAGCTGGGCTTAAAAATTTGTCACAACATGCCTGAAGAATTGTTTGTTATGTGACTGACAAATGAATTTCCATATATTCTGAGGCTCTGACCTTTGCAGCTGTTTGTGTAGCACTCCCTCATCTCTTGATCAAGCTTCTGCTGGTTTTGCTTTTGCTAGTGCGCATTTCTGTCTTTTCACACAAGACATACCCTGTGTTTCAGGCAGCTGGGGTAAGAATCAGAAAAGCAAGGTGCCTGGCTTTTAGTTTGGGATTTTCACTGTTCCCTAAGTGTTTTGTGGGTGTTGCCTTGCTGCAGGACCCAGCAAGGCATTTCTTTGTATCGCTGAATTATTTTCACCTCGGTGCAAAGTGATTCCTTCAGTTTCACAACATCTCTTTGTATTGCTAAATTCCCTGTTTCAGTGTGTTCTGATATTTTTTATTTTATACATGCAAAATGAAAAGCTGGGCTTAAAAATTTGTCACAACATTTGTCACAAGAATTGTTTACCAAATCAAATACCTGCTTTCAGACCATTTGTAGTCAATAACCTATAAAAATTTCACTTTTGCAGTCAGTTGAGGTGAACTTCAGCTCCTTCAACTTGCATGGATTTGTCTGGCCTCTCTTTTAACGAGGTATGAAAATGTTACTGATCAAATGGGTTCTTGTAGCACTGAATTCCCATTCTTGGCTTCTGAGAAGTGCCACAGCACCAGGCAGCATTTTGTGACAGCCAGGGATGTGTAAGACACTTGCCAGTGCTGCTGTGTTGTGGCACACTGCAGTGATGGGCAGTGGGTGCTTTGGGAGCCTGGGGTTCTGCTGAGGCTGTTGAGCCACAAGGAAAGGCCACGGCACCCCAGCAGCCCTGCTGTGGGGCGTTGCTTGGGCTGAGAGTGCTTTGTGGTTTCAGCACTGAGAAACCTCGCTGGCTGCAGTGATTGGAGGCTGCAAACGTGGGAACATTGCTTTTGGAAAGCTCCTACTGCAAGGGCTGCCCTCTGGATTTTAATGGTGGAGATTGCAAATGTAATGGAACAAACAAAATTGTTTGCATTGCACCATTAACTTCAAGGAGGCTGCTATTTGCACTGACTGCCTCTGCAGCTGCAGCTCAGGACCCACTTCCTAAACACTCCGGCACTGGAGCACAGAGTTCTGGACACAGGGCAGAGTTTGTCAGGGGGTGCAGGTGGGCACAGAACTGCAGGCTGAAAAAAGGGCTTTTGTATGAATGAAAAAGCCTGGAAAGGGGGAAGAACAATTTATTCAAATCTTTCTCAACTCGTTATTTGCTCTGATTTTTCCTTTGGGAGGGTGGCACCTGGTAGACTGGGAATTGTCAAAAAATAACAGGGATTTCATGTATCTGTGTGTGAGCACACCTGGATGTGTTGGATATTTTGCAGTAGTAATTATGTCTGCACACCTGCTGGTTTCAGTCCCAAATCAGTTTGCCAGACATGCCTAGGGAGATTTATTTCTCCTATACCTGAAAAAGCTCTTTTACCACTGAGGTTTTACTACTCTAAATAAGCCTAAAGAAAAATAGAAGAGGATTTTTTCCTGTCTTTGCTTGAGCTGTTGGTATCTCAAAGTGAACTGTGGAGTTTGTTAGGGGGAGGAGGGTGTTTGGATGATATTTTAATAGCAATTTGTTTTTGCTTCAATGTGTGATAGAAATATAAGTGACAGGAGTGGGAACAGGAGAATTGCTGAATTCTGCTGGAATTTTTCCTGTGGGAATCTGTTAATGTTTTTAATTCTCTGAGAGATTTTTCTAAGGTAATCCTTTTGACATTTACATATTTTAAAGGACTCTCATTAAATAAAAGCTTAACTTTTTTATATCAAATGCTGAAGTGATGATACTGAAATACCACTGCATAGAAATTCAAATGGTTTGAGGATTATTCTAATTGCAACCTAAGCAAAGTAAGATTTGTGAGGGATATTAATAGTAAATTGTTCTTTAAAATAATGCAATTTTGAAGGAAATTTAATTGTTCAGGCATTTAGCAGATGCATTTTCTTAGACAAAACCCTTTTTGGTACCTCGTGTGGTGCACTCAGCCACTCACTAATTGAAAGCCTCATTTGAGCAGCTGGGTTTCCACTCCCCACTTGTGTAGCAAATGTAACTTGTGCAGGAGCCCAAGGGTTTGCAGTGCACTCTGTGAAAAATCCTTCTTGTGTGTGCCACATCAGTGCAGCTCAGCTCCTGAAGGACGGTGCTGTTACCAGCACAGGGAAGGCTGGAAGAAGTAAGAAGTGGAAGATCTTTTTTAAAAAAACCCCAAGAGCTTGATGGTTAGGTGTTGCCTTTCTTGCAGGTGACGCTGTCTTGCAAGCAAATACTGCCATGAGCAAAATGATTCATGTACTCTTGTCTTTTCACTCCTTCCACAGGAGGCAGGAGGATAATAACACAGGGACAAACAGATAGTGCAGCCCAGAAATGCCTTTAAATGAACTTTATTCTTTAGGTTGCATTTTGCTTGTTCAAGCCCTTGAGCCAGAATTTGCTCTCAGACCAGACTAAATACTAAGCAAATTCATTTAATTAAATTTGTTGCAGATATCCCCAGTTAACAAGAACAGATTGGTCTCCCTGAGGCTAGATACAGTTAACAAGAAAATAAATGTTGTGCTAATTAGTGAACTCATTTTTAGACACCTGGGGTGAAACTTTAAAAAGTCCTAGAGATGTAGGATTGAAAATTCATTTGGAAATGAGTCTTAGGCTTCTAAATCACTTAGGCACTTTTGAAAATTTTCCCCAGAGGCTTTAACCATCTTACAATCATCATATTTAGCAAGTTTTTAACTGTCTGCTTAGCAAAGCACTGTATAACTATTATCTGTTTGAATCAGTACACCACAACATACTTCATTATCCCTGTAAGGTAGAGACACTGAGCTACCCAGTGAGCTAAAGGTAGGCTAAGTGTCATTTTTTTGAGCATGGTTGTATGTCAATAGGAACTGATTGATGCTTTTTTGGAGGTATTAAACTACCAGTACCCCAAATTTCCATCTCTTTCCAACCTCATGAGACTTTCTGTAGGTACCTAACAACTTTTTATTAAATCTTAAGTGACTTGTCCAAGCTCATGGCTAAAAAAGACAGCAAAGATGAAATTTTATAGCTCAGCACCTGCTGGAAGAAAAATGAAACACTAAATACTGTCACACTGCCATTCATCTGCCAAATCATGATAGGAAGTAATAAGGACTCAATAAACATTAGATTGAATATTAAGCCAAATTTCCAGATTCACATAGGATTAGCAGAAAAGCAAGGAAGGAACCAGACTCTGAGGAGCAAAAAGTCCCTTCAATAGCTTGCAGCTCAGAAGTATGTTTTCAATAGGGTTTTTTTTTTCCTGTAACTGGTCTGAGATTTTTCTGAAATATCATCCTTGTAAAGACATGCATTAGTAGTGTCTGTTTCTTGCCAGGTAAAACCCTTCCCACAGCCACGCACACACTTGCTGTCTGTCAGCAAAAACTTCTGTGTCAGTAATTAGAAAAATGCTATTAAAAACCTGGTTTGTAATCCCAGATAGCCTCTGGGTTGCCTCAGTTCTATTTCCTTGCTCAGTGCAGTGAGCCAGAATTGCTCCAGTGTGAAGTGGGACCCTCTAACAAGCTCTTAGCTACTCTTTCGTTTATCTGGTTCTACAAAGTGTTAGTTTTACGGGCACCAGCACTCAGCTGTGGTGCCCAAAGAGGTTTCCCTTGGTGACAAAGTCCTTGGTCTGACAGGTTTGTAACTCAGGTGGGGCGTGTTGCAGATGGGCTCTGGGAGCTGCATCTCACCAAGGGGCAAACATGCACATTGTGTACATCTGAAATTTCCTCCAGCCTGCCATGAGTCTGGATCATCCAACAGCTTCATAAAAGAGATGAGTCAGGGCCCTAAAACACAGGGAGTATCCACTGAGTTCATTATTTTCATACCTAATTACACACTGCTATTGAGAGAGAACTGCACATTACACTGAAGAACCTTGTTTCATCACTAGCCCTAAAAGATAATTGCACTTAATTAAAACCTATAGATACCGTGGTGATAACTGATCTATAAACACTCAATGTAGACCTGCAAATGAGGTGCATTAGCAAGTGCATCCATTAAACACGATTTGAAAGCTGGTACTGAGGTGAGATGGCAATGAAAAGTTAGGCTGTTTTGCCATGTAGCTCTTGCACTCCCTTCTGATTCTGTGCAATTCCTCTGCTGGGAACCAGTAGGCAAACACCTGCTGATCATCCCTTACTGAATTTTGAACACTTTCTGTTTAATCTGGGGTAATATACACATCTGTGGGAAACAGTGATGACAGGTGACACTTGCAGTGGCAGAAGCTGCCCTTTTTCTTTGTGAGGTTAGGTCAGAAAGGAAGAAGCAGATATACAAGTGTGGCGAGTAATGCCACAGAACAGGGAGGAAACACTTCTCATGGTGAAAATATTTCTTGTAATGGACATTGTAATGCATTTGCCAATGAACTGTAAATTATACTTCCAGCTGAATCAGCTGCTGGTTGCTTTGTCTCAGCACAGGTCTGGAGGGTCATTTGCAACAAGTCAGAACAGAAAATTTGTCCCCATCCTTCTCCAGTGTTTGTGCACAGCTGCCTGCAAAGCTGTTAATGTGAAGGGAAATGGCTGGTGAGGGGCCAGAGCAGTGAGTGCCTGTGGGGATCACACAGGCTGTCCCTGGGAGCGCATCAGGAATTGTCCTCTGCCAGGAGTTTCCTGTGTGGGACAGGGCAGCCCCTCCCCCCATATACTGGCAAGGTCACTTGTAATCCCTCCTTGTACACCTACAGTTTGGACATCAGGAAAAATCTTTTATGGAAAGAGTGATAAAGTACTGGAATGGTCTGCCCGAGGAGGTGGTGGAGTCACCATCCCTGGATGTGTTTAAAAAAGACTGGATGTGGCACTCGGTGCCATGGTTTAGATGAGGTGTTAGCACATGGGCTGGACTCAATGATCTTGAAGGTCTCTTCCAACACAGTTATTCTGCAATCTGAAATTCTCTTCAGTTGATATGTTCACTGCAATGCTTTTCTGAAAAAAAAACAAAAACAGAAAAGTAATATTTTTGTGTGAAATTCTCTTCAGTTGATATGTTCACTGCAATGCTTTTCTGAAAAAAAAAACAGAAAAGTAATGTTTTTGTGAGGAGGAAGGGGAAAGACTTAGCCAGGGGGCTAAAGCAGAATGATAAATCGCTTGCCCACTCAAATTGTGGGTGTCAGGTTTCTTGTATTTATCTCCCTTTAGCACAGGGAGAGCACTGAGCATGTGGGATTCACAAGTGTGCGAGAGGTGCACGCGCGGCCAGCTCAGCACCTTGCTGAGAGAGGAATGCAGCAGGGAGCAGCTTGGGCACCTGCTTCGTCAGCTCATCTTAGGGGGAAATACTTCACCCTCGGCTGGTGGTAAATAGAAAGAACATCAAATAAAGAAAACTCAGAGAGGAAAGAGCAGAAGCAAGTGTCCTGCACAGAATATATTTAAAGTTGTCATTTCACTTTAGGCTGCTTTACCCTCTGTGATATCTGTGTCTGCTTCTCACCCCTGCAGCTCCCTGCTCCGATGGCTCTGCCACCTCCGGATCCGCAGTTTGTGCTCAGAGGTACCAGTGCTGCAGTCCACACTCTGCATTTTTCCTGTGGAGGCCCAGAACCTGACATCCCCCTTCTTTTCTCTGGGTAAATACACCAGGGTTTCTGACTGCTGAGTGTCATATGGTTGTTTCCTTTTGAATTGAAGTGTATTATTTTGACAAAGTGTTTCTGGGGAAAACAGCAGCATTCGTGGTTTTGCATAATGGGTGTGTTACTTGTGCATACAGCTTCAGTTGAAACAAAACAAACAAAATGAGAAGCATCAGCCTCTGATCACCTCCATGCAGTGCTCACACTAAAAGCATCTCTTCCTACTGCCAGGTCTGAGAATGGGTTCATCCATGTCTGGAACCTGAAAACACACAGAGTGGACACAGCATTGGATGGCCATGGAAGAAAATCTGTCTGCTGCGTGGAGACAATGGGTAGTAAAGACAGGCTTCTCAGGTTAGCAAAGCAGGCAAAAAACAGTGAAATTATTCTTGTCTCTTGTGTGTGATTGAAGGAAAAAAAAGAGGGGCGGGGACACAAAGGATTCTCTTAATTCTGGACTCAAAGTTTCTCCAACACTTATGGAAATGTACTGAAGTAAAAAAAGACAGAAAAACTCTAGAACAAAAAGTGTAGGGGGGTGGAGGGGGAAAGATGCAATTAATTTATTTATGATGTGTGTTATGATATCATAACAACTTGGGACCTGTAGTGTCTTTACTAAGAACAGGTGAGGTCTTTGGGTCAAGGAAATACACTTGGATTTGAAGTTGAGGAACATTTCACTGCTGGTTCCTGGGAAAGATTAAAAACAAAAGAATTTATAAATAGAGGGGAGATGGAGAAAAGGGAAGGAAGAAAGAGAAGAATCAGAGATGGAGAGTGGAAGACTGAAAATGAGCAAGAATGCTGCGTTTCATGCTTTTACTTTGTTGCAAAATACCTTCTGTTCTTGTTTAGCAAGGGAAAGTCAGGAAGATTTGTGTACTTTGGATTAGACAGGTGATCTAGAGTAGATGCCAAAGTGTCTGTATGATTAGGAGGTGTTCTGACATGTTTATCTAGAGAAGACATCTCATAATATACAGTGGAACTCATTAGCATTTATATTTCTTATCTGCTTTAGTACAATTATCAACATTCCCCCATAAAATCATATTGAATGAGCATTGTTTGTATAATTATAGAGTTTTTCTGTACCTCTGTTTTTACTGTATAGTTCTAACACTTCACATAGCAGTGCAATTTTAGGACAGCATTTATCTGTATTTTATATTTCTATCTTGTAAAGCTAAATCACAAAAATTTCTTGCAGTATCACACTGTTTGTATGCACAGTGCTATAAATGTTGTGTCAGTTTGTCACTCAGCTGAACAGCACTGGTGTTAAAGAAGTCTCAACAGTCTGTAGATTTACATCTCCTCTGTTTTGGTTTCATGCTTCTTCAGGTGATACTGCTAATTAAAGTAAGACACGGGTATGGGAGTTTTGATGATTCCTTGCCCAGGTGATGAGGGCATATATCCTGTGCTAAGGTAGTTTGTGGATTGGAAGCTTTTGCACAGTGCTACTTTGTTCCAGAGCCAGTGGGATCACATAAATCTGCACCAATTGCTGCTGTGCCCTTTGTGTGGCCCCCTCGCTCTGCCTGCCTGGGAGCAGCACAGAGGCTCTGGGATGGGGCTGTGCTCCTGCCTGGCTGCTCTCTGCCCTGGGTGCTTCAGCCACAGCGTGTCCTGGAGCAGTCACTGCCAGTCTCTCTCCGTTGTGTCTCCACACGTGCAGGCTCCTAGGAGCCCTCTGTGCCCTGCCTGTGGCTGTGGGAAGTTGACCACTGAATAACTGTCACTTTTTATTTATCTCTGATGAGGTCTTTTCTTGCTGTTTGTCTTTCAGCTGTCAAGGCATGCATGACATTTCCATTTCATTGCTAGGGTGAATGAGTGTTACATGTGTAAATCTTGGGGTACTTTTGTTTCCTTTTAAATTAGATCTAATCAATGATAAAATATAAGTATTTTTTCACTGTGTATATATCCAACTGCTCAGGAGACTTTATAAATATATTCTCACATATAAATAGCACAACTCAGCCTGATTAAGTCTCTCTGCACAAGGAAACAGAAACTGTGATGTCTGCCTGGCTCCCAAGCCTCTGCCCTCCCAGGGACAGTTGAACCTCTTGGCCAGTTCCACAGTTGGCAGGAGGGTGGTGGTCTTGGGGACACTGAACTCCCCCACGTTTCATAAAACACCCAATTAACACCCCCCAGAGGCTGTTCGAAGCTTGGTCCTTTACTGTCTGTTGAAGACCCAGTTCAAGTTACTGCCCTGCAGGCAGCCAGGCTTCCTCAGACTGCAGCTCATGGATAACTTGTTTCACTGTAACAGTCAGGGGCGCGACCAGAGGATCTGCTTGTGGGATTTAGCAGAGGGACGGACTTCAGTGACGGATTGTGTCTTCACGGAGCATGTGGGATTCTGCAGATGCTCTCTGTTAAAGGTGGCGCAGGGACGCTGGCTAATGGCCATGGCAGCCAGAAGCCTGGAGGAGGTAGGAAGTGTCTCTTTCTCTGTGCTTGAGAGGTTGCTTTTGGTACTGAAATTACATAGTTCAGAAGGGGAAACATCAGTGCCATTGAATTCTCTGCTCAAGAGCAGGCAGTACAAGAAACCTTTGGGAGTTTTAACCACTAATTTTACTGCCACAAGGATGACTGAATTATATAACTCATGCTTTAATAACAAGGATACCACCCCAAGATTTGTCTGGCATTTAAGTATTTGCAGCTGCTTTACATGCAGGAGTTTTGAAAACTCTTCTGGTGCTGCTGAATACTGGGAACAAGAGTCCTTCTGGGGAACTAATGGCCAGCAGGTCTGTCCTCAGATGGAGGAGCTTGTATTCCATCCAAAGCTGAGTCGGGTTTGGTGAGAAGAGGGGAGGTGCAGGTGATTTGTAATGCAATACATGGTCTTTCACCCCAGGCCAATTCCTTACCTGGAACTGGGGCTGGAAATAGTTGAGTTACTGTTACAGCCAGAGCTTTGCTCTGTGTGAGATAATTGCAGGGTCTGTTTCAGTTCCTACTGGGTAAGTAAGTCCACATCTAATGCCACTATCACAGCACTCACTGACTGACAGCTTTGTTGGCAATGTCCACTTCTGCTTTGTAGAAATTACAGTTTTGTTTTCTACAACAGACTGTTTGAGATCACACAAAAATAATACCTAATACTTGACATCAAAATACCAAAATTATGAAAGAAAAAAGTGGCATAAATATGAAACGGAATATGGTAGCTGAATGCAAATTGCTGATGAACATAAAAGTTCACATGCTTTTCTGGACTATAGGTTGTGTATCTTGAAACTGAAATTTGCATATTTTATACATAAAGTAATAAATGCCTACATTGCAAGAAAATGTGATATTTTTACTATACAGAAGTTAAGCACATATTTAAGTACTTTGTTGACTCACAGCCAGAATCTTCACCCTTTTACAGAACTAGATATGCCTGCAGACACAGACACTGCACCAGTAAACACAACCATTCTAAGTTCCATACCTTGTTCTGATCAAACAAAGAACTCCCTCCATTTTAAAGCTGTGCTCAATAATACTTAAGTTAAACAAAATTGACAAGTGCATTTTCGTGTCAGCCGGAGAAGTCCCGCTAATGAAGAATTAAATAATCAACTGACCCAAATAGAAGACGTTTACCCCGGTGTCGCTTACAATTCATCTCTGTTTTATTCTCATTTGTTTGCTTGGGCCCTGCAAGAGGAGAACGATTTGCAATCTCCTGAGGTGGAAGAGTTCCACTCTGTGTGTGAACCTTTGCATTAGAACTGTGTCATGTTTCAATAAATTCACATAAGCTCCCATAATATATAGTGCTTCCAAACAGGCAGCACTGTGTGAGACACAGTACATTTGCAGCTTATGATTAAAATTAAGACTTAATAAGTGTTTATGCTTGGCTGGTGTCCAAAAAAAGACTAATTTTGTCTTAAAGGAGGTTCAGTCCATAAATAATGAGATCTGAACAGGCATTTATTTGTTCATGATTGCATTTAAATCACCAATTATGAGTTACATGCACTTTTCTTGCCAATTTGCCAGAAACATGTTAAAAGCTTTATTAATGTGAAAAAGAGAAAGGGTGTGTTTCCTTGTGGCCAGTTTTAGCCACCCAGGAACACTATTAACCTCAGGCAAAGGCAAATCTTTCTCCTATTAAGCAAAACCAGTATAAACACGGAACTTCAAGTTTTAGGTTACAGTTGTCAAAATATGTGAAATAGTATTTATTTCTAAGGCTCAGTTGCCTTTAACACAGACAGTCTCTGGAACTGTCAATCCAGCTCAGGCAGCAGGTCATGCCTGCCTGCCTTCTGCAAAAAGCTTTTCTCATTGTTTTTCTTTGGCCTTTGCAAGCCCAACTGTAGCCCTTGTACCAGTTCATCTGTTTTTAGTCAAAGTAAAGCAAAGAAGGTTTGGTTTTTTTCTTTTAACCTGCAGAAGTGAATTTATCACAGCACACTTACCCTTCTTTATTACATAAAAGTTGCAGTTTTGGTCTTGCCTAGGAGGCAATGCCCTTTGGAGAGACAGTGATGAAAGAAGCAAGATGAGGGCAGGTCATCTTCATATTTATAGCCCATTTCCTGCCACAGCTAACTTGGTCATTATGTTGATAGCAAGAAAGTTGACAAGAGAAAAGCATCTTTTGTTAAGAGTGAAGCTCCAAAGAACCAGAATTCCCAGATGATCAAACTTTGGTCTGTTCCCAGGTTTGGTCTGCAGACTAGATGGCTCTTGGCTGTAGTCACTATTCCTCAAATCTGGAAAACAGTTTCCTGCTCTATTGCTCGGTGGCTTTCGAAAGTGTTCTGTATGTATGTGCAGTACACTGCACTCACAGTCTCAGAGTGCAGCTGGCTTTTGGCAGGCTGGCTGACAGCCTCTAGAAATAGGAAGATGTTCTGGCAAGCTTTGAACTAAAGGTATAGGATTAGAAAGCCATCACAGCTGCCGTGGTCTTGATTGATGGTTCCCAGAGGAGCCATATTTGTGTAATACCTCATCTCAGATGCTTAAGGAAATTTGCACGACTGGGGCTGTCCAAGAGCACCGTTGGGCTCTTGCACATTCTGGAAGAGCCTAGAGTGACTGGTGATGCTGGATTTATCAAATGTTTCAAGTAGTTTAATTTTACCACATAATGCAGACCATTGTTTAGTTAATTAGAAGAAAAGATCACCTTGGTGATTAAGTATGCATGTGAGAAACAGCAACGTTCCTGGCAGCAGGTTTTTGATACCCAAGAGCTTCTGTTTCTCCAGAGTTCCAAGCTTGAGAACCAGCCCAGAGCTGAGGCACTGCCGTGTCAATCAGGAGTCTCAAAATCTTCCAGTACCAAGCTAAAAAGGCAGACTCCCCTGATCTTGCCTGCCATCATCCTGAGGTGGAAATGAGCTACTTCCTTGGCAGAGGAACAACTTGCCCCATGTTAATTACAAAAAAAAAATCAAAACCACACAAACCAGGTCCATGATTCATTACCATCGGAGCAAGCAACAATGGAAGCTGCTCTGTAGAGAGAACAGGTGTTTAGCACAGCATTTTCTGCATTTTCTGACCCTGCTTTACACAGGGTCAGGCATGGTTGTGTTAGGAATCCCTGTGTGCAGACAGTGCTGCAGCCAGCCCTCGCCCATCGTTGTGGGGTTACGATTTGTTAGCACAGTCAGCAGTAAACAAAAAATCCCCTCTGCATGTGTACACTGCCTGTATTCCCATGCAAGCTGTGTGTTACCACAGCAGCACAGAGGAGAGAATGCAAGTGTTCACAGGTGAATACAGCCAAAAAATTAGCAACAGAGCTGGAACAAGTGGAAAGAAAGCAGGGGGGATGTGTTCAGATTTAGCAGTCTGCAGCATTTTCTGTCGTGTGCACAATGTCATCCACTGTTTGAAAATAAGGCTGTAATTAAATAGAAGAGTGGAAGAAGAGGATGTGTTCACTCCAGCAGTTTTGTCTGGTCTTTCCTAAAACAATGCACTTCTTTAGTTAGCTGTAGATTCCCCTTACAGCTCCAACTTAGCATGCATTCCTCCATTTCCTCCAGACAGTTTTTACTGGAAGAGCTTATACTAACCTTAATCACCTCAAAAGACTTGTGTTTTTAACAGCAGAATTTTGACCTGGAGCCTGACCAACTCCTCTTGTTTTCCTGATGTCAGGTTCAGATTTTGGAGCTGCCATCCAAGACATCAGTCTGTACCTTGAAACCAGAGGTGGGTGCCAAGCTGGGCATGCCCATGTGTCTGAAGTTACAGCAGGTAAGGCAAGAGCGCCTGCTAATTGTGAAATGTTTTCCCTGTGATTCATTTTATATGAAGCACATGAATCTTTCTTCACTTGGATTTTGATTTATAATCAAACTAATCAAGTAATTATACTATTAAAGGGGGGAAAGATTTGTGAACATCCTTAATGTAACTTTCAGAGCTTTCCAAGCTTTAATGGAAGATTTGCAAATGCTCAAGGAAAGCTTTGTATCCTTAGGATAGATACAGTTTTTGCATCAGTCAAGAGGAAAATGAGTGACTTACCAAAGCCAGTTGTTTGATATGGTTTCTCACTGCATTAAGACTGATGAGAAATGTTTGGGTTGCTTAAAAACTGTGGTTTTAATGGCAGATTCCATTCACTTCAGTGCCCTCAGGATGAGGAAACATTCTATGAACATTTCTATTCCAGACATACAATAGGAACAAAATATTTATGGTGGTACTGACTGCAGACAAAAAGGTAAATAAGAGTAGTTGGTGAAAAAAACCCACATCTGCAAAATATTTAGCAAATAATGTTTATGGGCTGCCAACAGGGAACACAAGTAATACAAAAAGGTGGCAGTAGAGGGAGGAAGGAGTTCAGGTGATTGGATTGAAATCTCCAGAGAGCTGGTGGCAAAGCTGATTCCCATGTAACCCCCTGGCAACACACTGCTACACGTCTGCAGGACCAACTGAGCAATGCCAGGGTGTAATTCCTGCAGACTCATTGGAACATTTGTGTTGGTTTCGGTTGAAAATATTATCAATCAAAGTGAGGCCTCAATGTCTTCACCCAAGATCTTGAACCGGACTGAAATCTAGAGAATTCATTTGCTGACTTCAGACAAAAGCCAAGAGAGGCCACAGTTGAAGTTCCATGCTGTAATTAAAAACTAGGGTGGGGGGGGAAAAGAGGAAATTAAATAGGCTAATTAGGCTTTTGTTAAACAAGGTGCAATCCTAGAAATGCAATCAGTGTTCAGTGCTTGACAGAATGAATGGGTCTTTCTGTCTCCTTGACATTTTTTAATAAGATGGTGATAAGTGTGGAAATGTTCAGTGTTGAAAATTTTTCTTGCCTGTATAAGAAGTCCTCTGTCTTGCCATATTTTCTATATGCATTAATATTGATATTCCTCCAGGAAGCAGAGCAGGTGCAGAGTCTTAATTTTATATAGTTTTTGATTTTGTTGCCAATGGAGATAAAGCAGAGGACTGGGAACTGGGAGAGCTAAATTATTCCATCCAAATTCTGACTTTGAGAACTCACCATAACTTCCTAGACTGCACCAGGCAAGTATAGATAATCTCTTAGAGTCTCACAGCTGTATTTATTTGCTCTTTTACAAATATGTGCAGCTTGGTTTAAAGGCATGAGGAAGAGGATACCCTCAGGGAAATAATTGCATGTGGTGTACCAAAGTGATGCTCTGCATTGTGCTCTGTGGTTGCACTGGAAGTGGCTCTGAGTAACCCTGTAACCATAAACCAGGAGAGCACGAGCTCACAGCTGCTCCCCTTCCTGAACAGAGCCCTCCAGGATTCCTTGGTGCACGGCGGTGTTGGGCAATGCAGACAAACCCAGGAGATGAGCACTCCCAGCCCAGCACTCAGGGCTTGCCTAAGAGGCTATTTGATGTTGCTTATGGCACAGTAAATTAACAAGTTGAAACAGAAGCTGACAGGGAGAGCCCCATAAAGGTCTGCAGGAAGAGGGCTTGGGGTGGTTGGCCAGTGAGAGTTTGGGGGCTGCAGCCAGGCACCATCACATTTCTCTGCAATCCAGGTGAACAACAAACCTCCCCAGCAGCAGTGGGAATGAGAAACTACTATAGAGATTAGGTTTGTGGATTAAGCCTCACTGGCTTCTCCTAAGCAGTCAAAAAGCTTGCAGCTATTTATTTTGTTCTTTTGAGCACTTTCCCCCCTTACTTTTCTAGGTTTGTCCTTAAAGATATTAGTTCATTCACTTCCTTTTGAAGATTCAGGTTCTTAAACACATAGTCACTTCAGTTTCACACCTTCCTGCTATTACTAATTGGGTGGAGTAGGATTTGTAGGAGTAAGGATAGTCTTCCCTTAAATTTTTTGCACTCCTTGGGGAAGGCATCATATTGCATAATGGTGCAAACAAAATAATTCAACAAGAATAATACATGTCGAAACTGGAAATGCCGAGTTATTACTTTATATAAACTATTGCAATTATTCCTGTTGAGTTGACAGCAGATCACCTTTTCTTCCTTCCTTGACAGTTGTCCAAATGCAACGACAAAATGTTCTGTTTAGGAAGAGGAATGATTTATAATTTAATTTTTCTACTGAAACACAACATGAATGGTGAGACTTCTCTCCAACAGTGTCTGTTATTGGGAATTGAAATAAATAGGCTGTTGTGAAGCACTGCCTGGTGAGTCCAGGCTCAGAGTAAGAGCTCCCCTGATCTTTCAATAACTTTTATTGTTTTAGTTCATGTACCCATTGAAATATTACACTTCATATGGTTAGGAAAGTCAGGAAGAAGTAGTGTGGGAGACCTACATTTCATAGGAAACAGTACTTGGGTTTTCAAACACACCAATCTCACTTGCAAATTACTGGTTTTCAAATCTAAAATGCAATTCCCACAGCACAAAAAAGAAAGAAATTGCTTGGCATTCCCGAAATGCTGAGCACTCACCTGTCTCTGCCATCTGCATGAGGGTGAGGAGCTCCTGTGGAAGCCACCATCCCACTGGGAGTAGGGAGAGGAGCTGCTGTGTGTCACTGCCTGATGACAGCTACGACTTCTGTGAAAGCCCAGCTCTGAGGGAGTCTGGTGCTCACAGAAGAGCAGCACAAATAATTGTGGGGGTTTTTTATGCTTAAACTGGGGACTTTCTTTAAACTTAAAAGTACCTATTAAATACTTTGTTTTGCTTTGAAGATTTTACCCTTTATTAAATACAAATAAAATCTGGAATGCTCATTTTATTCAGATATTTTAAAACATTTGATATTTGGTATCCAAAAGCAGATATTCTTAATCCAAAATACCTGATGAGTTAACATGAATTCACATGCATCTGATGCAATGTATGAATCAAGGTTCCATTGCTCTGATGTTATATTATTTTAGCAAATCAAAATTTTGACAGAAAAATTGTTCATAATTCTGGGCCCTGAGAAACCTGCTTTGTGAGCCTTTCTAGCCAGAGCATGCTCCCTACCTTTTCAAAGGAAAAAGGATCTTAAAGGAAGGAAGGAGGCTCCTCCAAGATCCCAGGTGTGGACAGACCTGTTCAGAAGGATGATGTAGGGGATTTCCTAAATCTACAAGGATTTCCCCTTGTTTCCTTTTTCTAAGGAGCAATGCTCATTGAGCTCTATTCCTCAAACACTTTTCTAGGCTGAGTAAGGCCAAGGAACTACATGAGGCTGGTACTTAGAAGTTGTGTTAGTCAGACCACCCATCTCTTGTTAGTTTAACTTCCCCCAGAACACAGAATAACCAGTAGGAGAACAGTCTGGACCATTGGTAGAGCAGTGAGCCTTTGGCCACTGCAGGTTTGTATCATGACACTGACAGCTAGTGAGTTTGACCTCATTCAATAATGTGATACTGGTAAAATTTAATTCTTTATACCCTTTATCTTAATTGAATACTGAGCAAACAAATCCTGTAGGAGCAGACAGTGTTTGGAAATATCTGAATACCCTGTTGGATACATTTCTTAGATGTGCCTACAATGAGGTGGTAATAATCCCAATGTCTATTTTGATATTTCTTCTCCTATTAAAGAAATAACTGGCATTAAGAGATGCCATTGTTTTAGTTGCTTTTCATTAGGGATTTGCATCTTCACTCCTGTAACCAGGTACTGCTTACAGCATCATTAGTCTTTTGGCTGGAGCAATGATGAATATTTTCCTTAAGTGTGACATGTAATCCAGTAATGTTCCCTTCTTTGAGTTATTTCAGAGGCTTAAATAAATTAGGTGTCTGCCCAGGGTGCCCTGCCCTTTGGCCTGTGACATCATTAATCAAAATAGCTTTCAATTGGTTACAGTGGGACTTGGGCGCCCATTAACCCCTTGGTGACTGGCCCAGCAGTTCCTGCTGGGAGGTTCAGTGTTTCCCTTCAAGCACTGTGGGGTACTTGGGCAGACAATCCCTCTGGCACTGTGGAACCTGGCAGTGTGGAACTGGAATCCCTGAGCATGGCACTTCCCAATGCCCACACAGGCGTGTATTGCTTGGGAATAACTCAGCTGCTCTGTGGAATTTTTTCAATGAAGTGCAAACAAAGTTCAGACCATGAAGTAAAGCTCCTGAAATTTTCAGTCAGGCTCTTTTCAGTTGTTATAGAGGGCAATAGTTGGATTTTCAGAGAGAAATTTTCTCCTTCTGTATGTATCTATATATATATATGTATATATGTGTGTGTGTATGTTAAATATGTATAATATATAAAAAATGTAGAATTTGATATGTAGATATAAAACCTGTAAGTGCATATTACCTATTAGTGCTTTCTGTAAGTGGATGTAATATCAAAATTTGACATTTAGATATCTAAATTTTTTTTTCATTTCTACACCAGTCAGCATTTTAATTTATTCTCTTGGTGCTTGGACTAAAACCTACATGGGAATGGTAGTTTTCTTTACAGACTATTTACTTCTCCAACAATTTTATTTTTCCTTAATCAGCTCAGCTGTGGTTCACACCCTGTGCTTCTGGCTGGCTATGAAGATGGATCAGTTGTCCTCTGGAATGTGTCAATGGGAAAAGCATTGAGCCGACTCGTTTGCCACCAGGAGCCAGTGATGAGCCTTGACTTTGACTCGGAGAAGGCCAAGGGGATCTCAGGCTCATCTGAAAAGGTGCTGAGCATCTGGAGCCTCAATGAGCAACAGAACCTCCAGGTCAGGATCACTGGCCCTCTAGTGTCATTTATCCCACTTTGCACTAACAGTTTGATAGACTAAAAAAATATTTAGTCATGAAGAGGAGTTGTTGCAGATCTCTAGCTAATTAATCACAGACTGGTTAGAATGTCTGTGCTATGTGACTAGACTTAGCAAAAGATGGTGAGGATTTAAAAAAAAAGGAAAAAACCCTCTCTCACATGTTTCTGGTTTTACCGAAGTTGCAACAGTCACACAGGCCTAGCATTACTCAAGCCATTGCCTCTGTATCTTCATTTATCACATTGGTAGTATCCAGCTCTCGGAATGTCCTAAACATTATAAATGAGTTCTAAAAATGAGAAACAAAGGATTGCTTTTCCAAAGGTTCTGCTTGAATGGCTATAGCGAGCTTTCCACTATGGGAAAGACAGAAGTATTCCATTAAATACTTCACAAACAGAAGGAGTAGGAGTAGCCCAGCTAGCACCGAGAGGACATGAGATTTAGGCACCCAGCTTCATTTGGCACCTACAGGGCCCAGCCAGAGACACAGAATCAGGCAAGTGGCTGCCCCAGCTCATGTCTGAGCTGTGGAACTGCGGATGGCTGGGTTAGGAGGTTGTGTAATCCCCAGCTCAGGCTGTGCTAGGGAATGGCCATAAATACTGCTTTCATTTAGACAACTGGAGCAAGTGTTCCAACAGTGCTGAGGTGTTAAGTATGATCTGGAAATGTAGGTGTGGAAATAAAGTGCAAAAAGGCTCATGAAAATTAAAACAGCCCATGCACAGTCTCTCCACTGCTGGGTGCTTTAACCTTTTAAAGTGGCAGTTGTCCCATGAACAATGGAGAGGGCCTGAATCAGCCCCTGTATGCCCATGTCATCCTTGAGAACACACCAGTTCCAGGGAGAACAATAATTGCTGTTCCAGCTTGCAGATTTTATGGAGTTTTTTTTTAAAGTAGTACAGCAAGTTAATGCTGTTTTCTGAATGGTGCTACAGGAATAAAAGCACATGCTGAGACATCCTGTGGTAACTCATCACCTGGGGGACACTGTAAAGGTGTGGAATCTGTGAGGCATCACCACAGCACCTGCATTTCTGGGGTGACAGGGCAAACACATCCAGTCCCAGTGAAGTTTGGAGGACATGGCACTCACTGAGGAGGCAGCTGAACTTAATACACAATACAACACAACATGAAAGAGGCACTCTGCACTCTGAACGAGTAGTGAAGGTGTCTGATACACAATTGTCTTGGTTTGGGTTTGCTGGTTTTTGGTCCTGTTTGCCCTGCCCTTGCCCAGCCTCCTCCTGCTTGTCACCATCTGCACCAGGTGTCCTTAACTCACACAGGGGGAAGGAAGGGGAGCAATCCCAGTCAGAAACTTGGTGTTGAGACTCATTCTCTAAGGTAAAGGTGACAGAAATCTGACATCATGACAGGCTTCTTAAATTTTCAAATACTCTGATGGTGGAGAGAAAGCTGTTCTTCATATTAATTATAGCAAAACTTTTTTCCTAAAATAAAAGAAAATACTGTTCTTTTCAGCACATTTTACTTAGGAGTTAATGGTATGCAGGGCTACAGGTACAACTTGCAGGAGTAACAGTTGTTCATCTGAAATATTGGAAGTATTGTTTTTCAGAAGGTATTCCCATTCCCAGGGGATGTAAGATTAGCTACACCTTCAGCACCTCACACTGAGAGATAGAAGGTTGCCTCAGAAGAAATGTAATGCCAAGTATTATAAGCTACAAGCAATGTTCCTGTGCTTCATGGGAGCATGAATGCCCTAAAAAAATGCATCTTTCATATGAGCACTAGAGATTGTCAAGGACATAGATTAAGTTTTTTTCCACTATTGCATTAATAATATAAACCAGATGGGGATTTTTTTTCCCTGACATTCCAGGTACCTGAGGTAATGGTAGACGTTGGAAAGCCACTCAGTGGCACATTATTTTTATTCTAAGAGGTTTTAATAAGTAACCGTGGTGCACAGATATCTGCCGTTGGAGAGGGAATGATGCAATGATGGCACTGCAGCTCTGTTTTAAGTGGCAGAGTTCCAGTGTGTCAATGAATAGATGATAAAGGTAACTGCAGAGTTTATTGCTATGAGGAAAGTTTGTATTGTCTCCTACAGGAAAGTTGCTGAATTCATCACTGTCAGCAAATGGTAGGATTGGTTATGAGCCTTCTGATTTGGATGAGATAGTGTAATTATGTGATGATGTTTGTGGTAGAGTGTAGGAGGTAAACAGCTCCTGCAGGTGAATAAACAAAGCAGAACTAAGAAATCTGATAACCACAGAATCTTCTTATTATACGACAAGGGAAAAAATCTTGTAAGCTGTACTGTTAAGTTTTCTTGGTTTGGTTGCTGAGGCTTTTCCCCCAAATGCTGAAGCTTAGTCAGCTGCTATTTTGGTTACTTACCTAATAAGCAGAGGGCTTAAAGACATGCTTTGGCTGTAGATGCAAGTGTCCTTGATTGTGACTGGCTGAAAGCAGCTCACCTATTTTTACCTCTTTGTTTTCTTAATTACAAGCTGGTTTTCTGGTTAGGAAATCGTGTTGGTATTGGACTGCTGCAGTCAGTGACTTACTGTAGTAAGTCCTGGGATGGCACAAATCCTGGCAGTAGGAGTACACCTGGCTGCATATACCTTGAGCAAGTTTTCTCCTTTGTGTTGTTTTTCTCTCTCACTCTTGTATTTGCAGATCATGCACAAATGCCCACTGTTCCCTCATGTTCCATAGCCAACAGGCATCACCATTACAGGCTTCCTTTTCAAGCTGTAGCTTGCTGAGGACATGCCATTTCTCCAGTCCTGATTGTGCTGTATGGATCTTGCCCACATAATTGACATTAATGATGGGAGCACCACGCCTGGGATTGGTTATAGCCATTAGCTAATAATCTCAGTTACAGAATAAGACCCATCCTACATTTGCCAGGCTGGTGATGTAAGGAATAAATCTTTCCCCTGCCAGGACATTTACACCAACAAAAATTCCACTGAGGCCATGCTGCATTAGGCCTGCTCTGGGGAGTTTGGAGCACACGTACTAACATAAAGCACAGGCTGTACAGTAGCAGCCCCACCAAGAGGCCCCCACAGAGCCTGCTATTTCTCATTAGGCTTGAGCAAAACTTGCTGTCCTCTGTTCTGAATTCATTGTAGACACATTCTTCAGGTCATCTTTGAAAAAGAAATGTATAGAGCATGTAAGAAGCATGTCAAGTTTCATTCAACCTTTTATCTTACCCAACTGCACAGCTCTTGCTGTTTGAGTAGGTAGCTGGGCAGTTCTTATATAGCTGAAAAATAATTGCATATGGCTTTGTGCCTGTAAGGTTCCAAGATATGTTCAGCTGCATCTGAAACCAACCTTGACCAACATTTCTGGAGTTTTCTACATCCAGTATAAAGGTTAAAATTATCTGCAATAATATGTCTTTCTAACCCTGTACTAGGTATGCACCATGGAATGTCCTTCAAGGGGGAAACCTCCTCAGGTGTGATGTACTTGTCAATCCCTTCCTGCCTCAGTCAAACATTAGACACCACACAGTGAATTAAAACAGGCACTGGATGATATTAAGCTTTGGTACAGGACAGCTACAGACTCAGGCTGAAGGAGACAGTGGCATTAAAGTATTGTTTCCAATGGTACTTTTAAATAACAGCAGTTCAGGGCCAGCTTTATAAGCCAAAGGTGTTTTCCCCATTTTGACAGAAGCTGAGCTGTTCCAATACACACACACACTGTCTCTCTTGTATGAATATTTCACACATGTTTCAGAGGCAGGTTGCTCACTCAGACAAGTTACCTGAGGTGAGAACAGCAAAGGTGTGTTACTTTGAGCTTTGTGCCTCAAGAGAAAATCATGTCAGTGAAGCGAAAACTTTTCTTTCCAGGGGCTGTCCTGTGCAGCCCCAGTGCCTCCTGAAGGAAGCCAAATGCCTCCCAATTGAATTGTGTCCCTCTGTGCCCCAGTAGTCTCCAAAGAGTAACAAAACTCTTCCAAGACTGAAATCAATAACTTGGCCATAATCCCCTCCTTGGGTTTGGTGTAAATAGAAGTCTCTTGGGAAGGAGTACTAGAAATACAGATTTCCTGACACTGTAACCCAATTCCTGGAAGCATTCCTTTCTCAAGACTGAGGTAAATACTACAACAGCTTATTGGGGGTTTTGTGAGGGGCCACAGTAGTAGAAATGAGCAGCAGGTAGCTTAAGCATCAGCTCAGAAGGGTCTCAGCCTGGGAATATTGCAGAAGCAGGGAAAATATATGGCCTTAGCTCTGAACATTGCAACTTATACAAGAATAGTTGGAAGAAAAGGGCAAAGCTGTACTCAAAGCCTCAGTTCAGAGCTTTACTTGTGACAGAATCTATAGAGCTTTAAATGCAAAATAACTAAAAGCATACAAGAGTTTGGTTTATTTTGTGAAAATTGCTCTGGAAATGGGAGGCTCAATTAAGGTGTTTTCTGTCTCTGTCTACTGTTGCTCTTACCAAGCACCATTCACCACATGGTGAAAAGCTCCAGGCTCCCTGTGTGACACTGATGTGTTGGGTGGGCACAACACCTGCTAAAGTACCAAAAGATTCCTTTTTCTTCTGTTTTGAACAACTAGAGCTCATTTGTAACTTTTTCACAAAGGTTTACAAAACACACGAACTTGTCAACGCTGGCATATCTGATATCACCATCCGTCCAGACAAGAAGATTTTGGCAACAGCAGGGTGGGATCATCGCATCAGGATCTTTGGGTGGAAGAAGCTGAAGCCCTTAGCAGTGCTGGACTATCACACAGCAACCGTCCACTGCGTGTCCTTCTCAGACCACAGCACGCCCCGGCACAGGCTGCTGGCAGCGGGCTCCAGAGATCAGCGCATCAGTGTCTGGTCCATATATGCTCAGACATGACACACTGCACTGCCATGGACTAGGAAAACAGCACTGGTGAAGCAGCTCTAGCACTGTCATTCAAACGTGCATGTGGGGAAGTGCTAGAATCTGTCTCCAGGCTGAAGTGAGAGTCCTAGGTTAATTCTTATGCTGCTTGTTTAAGCTATAAGTTTTGTCTTCCATAGAGGAAAGTGGATTTTTAAAATTCCTAACAAGCAGAACAAGGCCAGTCATAAAGAAAGACCAAAGTTGCTTCGGGTTCTGCTACAGGTTTTGCAACACCTTTCCTTTGGCAGGTTGCTGACATAACTTGTGCCAATATCTTTTGTAAAAATGGACTGGAATCCCTCGAACTGCAGTGGGGGCAGAATATGTCTGTTTGTAAGTCATTTATGTATCCAAGAATCTGAATCAGTGTAAAACATTACTCTTTCTTGAAAATTTATACCCATTAAACCACCTCCAGTGGTTTCTCATTGTCAGTTACTTTTTCTTCCCCTAACTGAAAGGCTATCAGAACACCCTTGATTTGTTCACACTTCTGTCAGTTTCTAACTTAAACCAACAGCCAGGAATGTGACTGGGATGGCCTTCGGCGTTTATGAATTTCATTATGTCTCCTGTCACCTCAAGCCTCACAATTAATCACAAGAAAGAAAGGAAAAAAAATCTTCCCTAACATTGCACTGCAAAGCTATGTAAAGCCTTTTACAGAGCCAGTGCTAAATCCTTTCCATAGACTGATGAGCTGAAGGATTTAAACTCGACAATCCAATTAGCGCCCTTCTCCTTGGAGAGTCAGGGCTAAGTTTCAGCGTGGAAAGTCGGGGATTGAGCTGCACAGCTCCCATTAACATTTAGGGGAGTCGCACGGGTAAATCCTTATCCACACAGTGCAAATGGTTCCATTAACTTGTCATCTCTACAGTCATGGAAACTGAAATTCATTCATCAAAGTGTTTTTGTTTGACTCACAAAGCAGCATTTGCATTCTTCTAAAGCGTATTAGACGCACACCAGTGTGTGGGAGCCAGGGTACTGCTGGATTCCGCCACAAAGCTGCAGTGACAACTGTGTCCAGGCTCTACACTGTTGATACTTTATTGGAAGTAATTGTTTCTGCTCTGTAGAGAGGTGGAAATCAAAGAAAAAGTGACCAAAAGTGAACAGCAACATCAAAGACTTTGAAAATTATTTCAGAGAAAACACACGTGCAAATTAAGGTTTGGGTCTGTTACCCAGCTGTGCCTTGCAGACAGAGAATATTGCTGGACTGAAAGCCTGAAGCACCCAGCCTGACGTTCTTTACATTAAAACACAGAACCAGGATACTGTTGCCAGGCTTTTCTAAATAAAACGTGGCCTTACACATTTTAGAGTGTGGTGACACTTTAAATAATGCATTTCTTTGATTATTTCTTTACTATTCAGTAGCTGCATGGAGGATCATGTTGCAGTTGAAAGTTAAAGCCTAATTTTGAGTGATCCTGAGTCAAGGGGAGGTGATGGTGTTCATTACATCTACCAGACAGAATTGCACATCTCCACCCATCATCCACCTCCCACACAGAAGAGGAGCTGCCCCCACTGTACAAGCAGCTCCAGCCTCAGCCTTGTGGAATGAGATGCAGTCACCCTCCACACACGTGCTGCTGGAAGAACCCTTTTCTTTTGCTGTTTTTCCCCTTTCTCAAAGTTGGTCAGAATTGACACAAAGAAACAATGAAATAAATAAATGGAGAAGGTGCTGTCCTAGGGAGTTTGCACAGGGAGTTCCCTTTGCCTGAGCTGTCTGGTACAACACCACACGTGTGGCCCAGGGGTGCCAGCATTTCTCCTCCATGGCAGCAAAGAGCAGCCTGCACTGTTGGGCAGTTTGCACAGAAGTGAGCTGTAGGTTTAATGCTCATCCAGCAGGAAAGGAAATCCAGGGCTCACCCATCCTGGGCAAATGGTTAGGGTAAGGAACCATTTTTGATGCAAATACTCTGGCATTGGCACAGTGTGACCCCTCTGGAAAGAAGGATTAATACCCCATGCCTTATCGAGATCAGAGGCTGAAAGTTAGGAATTATTGAGTATATTTTCTCTGAAAATTGCCATTTACTGTCAACATCTGTATTTAAAGCAATTAGGGAGACTCATAAGGGATGTTTAGATTTACGAATGAGTCTTTTGGAAGATACTCTAAATTTAGATTACTGGATGCTTTCTTCTAAATTACTATCTTTTGCTGAGAATTAAATATTTATGTTTGTCTGATTAGGTAGCTTTAAAAACAAATTTAGTCACGCAAGTACAAATTGAAAATGAGGACATGAACTGCATCTCAGACACACAGGTGAGAGTTTCACCATCCTCAGGAGGAAGGACACAGGTTGCAGGGTTGCTTGCAGGAACAGACCCATCCTTTACTTCCCATTACCAAGGCACTATCCATGTCATGCTTTTTCACAATACAATTAATTCATTAACACTTTATATCACTGCTGATTTTATTTAAACACCCAGAAAACAGATTTTTCTTTCACATTATAGTTTCCTTGAAATGAGCAACCAAACTACCCTAGTTTGATTTAGAGTTGAGCCTAAATGCCATGGTTTGATTGTGAATTACAGTCTTCTAACAGTTTATTTGCCTAAGGAACTAACCTGGACTTCCCCAAACAAGAATGGTTTCCAACAGGAAAGACAGTCTGTATCAGTATAGGCTGTAAAACACAATTGTCTGATTCTAACATAACTGTAAAATGCAGATGTCTGATTGCATCTAAGAAATTAATTTCTTTTAATTAAAAAAAAAAAATTGCAATTGTGCCATGAGCATGGTTGTCACTCAGGATTTCCGCAGAAGGCTGTGAGCGAGGAGCCACCTTAAGGTGCTGGAGTGAGCTCTGAAATCTCACCTGCCAGAAAGGAACAGGGCTAGCCTGTACCTGGCCTGGAGGATTCAGGAGTGAAGGTGATGACAGCTAAATTATTACAAAAGGCTTCCTCCCAAGAATCACCGTCTTTGGCACCATGAGAGGGAAGAAAGCAACCAGCATTCATAAAGTAATAGAAATAAATCCCAAACACCAGCATTTGTGCAGAATTACATGAAATATTTATCACCACTGGAATGAATGGGATCTCTGACCCTCTAAGATTATATGCAAATGAATCCATTAGTTACAACTCCTTTCCCTTATCAGTACACGAGCCATATAAAGTACTGCAGTCCTTAGTGTAGGTGAGCAAGGAAAGAGGAGATTGTGTTTGTAGTAATGAATGAAAAAGGAAGTAAGCTGGAGCCATGCAATGAGACAGTTGTTAAATTTCATCCTTTAGAATGAAATTGCTACAGCAAGCCAAAAAATTACTCTGCAGCTTGACTTGAACTGTTGCAAAGGTTTGAGTTTAAAAGAGCAGATTTTTATAGTTAAGCCAATACTGGCTTCTGGACTGCTTTTCTTTTTAGCATATTTAAGATGCATCTACAAAGCCAACTTGCAAATTAATAAATCTTTCCTTTAATTCAGTCTGCCAAGAACAAAGATAGAACCGACTACTGCAGGAGCCATGTTAGTGATGTAAACCAAAGAACTGGGGATTAAACGAGGATTACTGAGTGCTAAATCAATGTGTTTCCTTTTCTGGCTGTGTGTCTGTGGTGTGAAAGTGTGGATCATTGCATAAAACATGGCACATGACTGCCTGGATTAATACTAGGCAATGTTACAGCAGCGTTGAGACACAAAGGTTGATGTTTAAGCATGACCATTGTGCTACCAGGAAAGTGACAGCCATGACTAAGGAAAAAGGCAGGGAGGTTTCTGCTAATGCATAATATTCTGAAATTCCAGCCTGGGTCCCCCTACTGTAGCTCTTCCAAGTAAACTTGGCTGTGTTTGTGTATGTCCTACTGTTCTGGAGCATCCTGGAAGTTTGTTTTGTAATGGGGAGGAAGCTATCCAGAATTAAGATCATACTGAGGGGAGAGATGGCAATTCATGTAAGGATCTCACAGTTTGAAATTAAATGAAAATATAATCTCTCAGTTGGGAAAGTTTTGCTCACCTGATTAGTGGTCTGAAGCACAGCTGTACATCCTGTCAGAAGGGCCTTGGAGCAAACCACCAGCAGTGGCCACATTGTCCATGGGAGAGGGACAGGGATGGCAGGAGGAGTACCTGATGGAACCACACAGTGATAGGTCTGGCCTCTGAAACTCACACAAACTTGCTTTTGTCTCAGACATATTTGCTTTTACTTCCCCAGCATCCTTTTTTAAAGGTGTCAGTACACTAGGAAATCCTGTACACTACAATGTACACCTCTAAATAAGCCTGTGTTCAGCCAGAGGAGAGTGTGTTTATTTCTGTGCTCTGAAGAGTCATAAAAGCAGAAGCTGCAGTGCCACAGGGGATAGCAGTGGGAAGGACTGCAGGAGAGCCACCCTGCAGTATTAACTATCTCCTCACAGGAGAGTGACATGGAAGTGAAAAATATATTTATTCTAATAATTCTCTGTTACAATTTGAAGTTCTAATTAAAAAATAAAAGGGAATAAAAAAGGTTGTTAAATTTATTTGACATTACAGCTGTTTCCTTCTAGTTTTTATTCTCAGTATACACAAACTAGGGCAGCAACAAACCATTGAAATCCTCACATGCTTTCTGGACAGCAATCGTCTCCCTTTCCAACCAGTGGCAGGATGGATTGAGCTTGATTATGTCCAGATCAGGAAATTTAGTGAAGATGTTCAAATGCTGAACCATTATTCTGCTCCATAGCTCTGGCATCTCACACATGCAAAAGTACATTTTCCAAGCCCCCATGGCACTGCTTGCTAGAAACATGTTCTGACATAAGAAGGCAGAGGGTGCACTGGGCCTATGGAGTAATTTTTAGCGTGACAGAGAATGTGGCTGTGGCGTTTGTCCTGATGGTAATTTTAAAAATTGCTGATACTCAGTGATTCGTGGATGCATTGTTTGTGTTCATGGAAAAGCATCTAGGCTGCTCTTAACATAACACTTAGAGTAAGTATTGTCTGTTCAGATTTTTTGGCCTCAGATATTTTGATGGCATGCAGACTTGGCATCCTGCTAAATAAAGACATTGAGTCTTTATAGTTTTATCTCTTGAGCCCATCTGGTTTGAAGTAGTTGACAACAAGCAGGAAAGGGAATAGAATGAAAGGCTCACTTCACGTTTGCTGAAATAAATGTGCAAGGCATGGCAGTGCTCAAATAGAACCAGCCTGGGAGAAGGGCTGCCTCTTCCCACCCCTCCTCTGCCCTCTCCAGATGATGGCTTTGCCTGCAGCCCCTCCACTCTCATGCTGGTTCTTGCTGCCCACGGTTGGAGCTCACACCCCAGACAAAGGGCAGCTGAAGCAGCCAGGCCAGAGCACCATGAGAACCCTGGGACAAGGAACAGTGGGAGCACGAAGCAAGGGAGCAGAACACAAATGCCCATCATCCAAGCTAAAACCAGTGACAAAACAATAGTGCTAACACCTCACACCAAGGTGCCTCTCTAAGTTTCACATGTTGTTTATTCTGTTTTTCACTTCTAAGCCCAAGGACAGCAGTCTGAGCCCCTGGCACCAGTGCAGTCACTCCTGTGAAGGAGGCACTGAACACAGCGGTGGCACCTGAGGTGTCCTGCCCTGCCCATGAAGCCAGCAGGAGCGCCAGGGAGGAGGAGTGCACTGCAGGAAAACTTCCCTTTCCTTCTCCAGCTCCCAGAGCCCACGGAGAGCTGCTCAGAGTGTAGAAGCCAGGCTGGAGTGGACGTCCCAGGGCACTCGCTCTCACAGTGCCCCTCTCACAGAGCTGTCCTTTGCAGCTCCAGTTGCACTGGGAGCAGGGCAGGGAAGCTGCTCTGCAGCCTGGCAGGATGTCACAACATGGAGCAGCGAGCCTTGGAAATGTGTAGGGCCTCTTCTGTCTATGCTGCTCCATCTCCTTATAGAATTAGGTCCTAAATGAGACTTTTCTGGCTCTTGTTCTTAATCACTTTGTTACTAGTTTAAATTTATAATTTTAGCCTAAGTAGAAGTGAGTGATTTATCGTAATTGTTTTGTATAGGCTGCTCTTAATAAACTTTTTTTTCTTTTTTAATCTGGAAAAACATTTAATTTCCCATATGGAAAGAACACATTTATCATACTTTACTTGGATATACTTGGCCAACTATTGCACATATATGCAAAACATATGTGACAAATTCAAGGCTGAATTTCATAAAACAGAAATGCTGCGAAATGTGATATAATAAATATATTACACAGACATATGTGGCCAATTTATAAAACTATGGTATCTTTAGTAAATTTATAATAGGTCATTTCTATTAATGGGGGAATGAGGGTGTGTTTTCTGGCACATGCAACACACATAATACTTTGCACAGCCCTCCTGAAGGACAGTGGGCTTTTGGAGAGCAGACTTGTACATGTACATACATTGTGTATATGGGACATGTCTGTGTTTTTCAAAACTAACGTGTGTCTTCAAAAACAGCTCTTCCTTTTTGCACTGATTGTGTGTGCAACATACTGGGCAGGGAAAAAAAGTATGAAATACTATTCTTTGAGATTTCTAACCTTTGATACACTATATATTCCCTCCGACAATGGGTGTCACACTGTAACAGCACACTTTATATGCTGAGCTCATGATAATGGCAATAACAGAAATCTTTGGATACAGTCACTTTCCCCTAGTTTTGTCAAACACCTGTGTAAATTATATATCTTAGCAAACAATTAAATTGGAATGATTAAATGAAGAACAAAATGCTTATGTTTAGAAAAACGCTGCATCCATACACAAGTACTGGCCTCTACACGTGCAGAGTGGATTCTTAATAACACCAGCTTAAAGCAACGGCTGAGCCATTGCTGGCTGAGTATCCTCAAATTGTAACTCACAGGACACTGCCCCTTCTTTTTATGCCAGAGTATTTCAAAGGTGAAATCTTTCCTTTAACCCCCTAATCTATATTTTCCTCTCATCGCATGTTTCCCAGCTCCGCAAGATGAAGCCCTTCTCGTTTTCCGTGCGTGCCGAGTCCACCGCGTGCCATGCCCGGCTCTTCCCTCTGGAGGGAGCCGGCTCTTCAGGCAGGGCCGGCCGGGGTGCGCGCCCCTCCTTCCCCCGCGGCCCCTGGGCAGCGATACCTGCGGGGACCCTCCGGACAGCCGGGGCTGTCCCTGCCCACACCGGCACCTTCACACCAACGGTCAGGCCGAAGCACCCGCGGTCTCAACGCGCTACCGAATTTGGTTTCAATCTATCAGGAAACCGAACAGAAGGCAAAGCACAAAGAACCAACTCGTGTACGTGCACTCAAGTGCTCTTCTCCCACCTTCCAGCCCGGCCGTGTTCAACAGGCTCACGGCAGCTTTTTGAGCTCTTTGGGTAATGATGCTGAAACCCGCTTTGCAGGTACTGCTGCGTTGGCTCCTCCAGCCCTCTCCAGGCAGCAGGGCTCAGCTTCTACCCCCAGCCCAAACCTGTGGGTGCCTGGCTTGTTTCTAGCAGCTACCGGGATCCCTTTACACAGGCAGAACATTACACAGCACAGCTGAACCTGCTTTACTTATTCCGTACAAGATCAAGGTACAGCTGCTCTTTGGCATCACAGGCTGGAATCCACTTGCTGGAGAGGAGGAGGAGTGCTTGGCAGGAAAGGACAGTGCCCCAGCTGAGGTGGCCCTGAGCCATGTAGCCCCACTAGCCATGGCTCTGTGTAGGGATGCACTAGAAGCCCATAGCTCATGGGAGAGACACACTCTG